GAAGAAGGGGAGGACGAGGAGGAGGAGGAGGAAGAGGAGGAGGAGGAGGAGGAGGAGGACCACAGCAGCAGGTGGAGCGCTTCTTCTTTTCTATTGGCTGCGTCACATCACCTGACTTTCTTTCACGCTCTGATTCTCTGAACTTATTAATGAGAATCTGATCACATGATCTTTAGTTCAGGTCTGACATGAGAGTCCTCCAGTGATGTCATATATCTCAAATAAGGTTTTCTTTCCACGACATTTCTCAACACAACATGTCCTTGATCATCCGACAGGAGAACCAGAAGTACAAATAATGTTTCCATTTCTCCTCCTACTCTGAGATGTGGGTCAGTTTTGGATAGCAGAAGACTACATTACCCATCAGCCACCACTGCTACGGAGAAAAGCCGTAGATCCACATTGTGACGTGGACCGGGCTGACCATGGACACCAAACCAGTGAGGTGGAGGTGGATTCTCTCCTCTTCCTCCTCCTCCTCCCCCTCAGAAGCATTACATCATGCTCCTCTGAGAGATGCTGCTGTTGCTAGGTTACCACCAGCTGACTCCTTGATCCATTTTTAGAAGAAGGGGGAGGGGGGAGGGATAGAGAGACACCAGGAGACAGAGAGAGAGGGGGGAGGGGGGAGGGATAGAGAGACACCAGGAGACAGAGAGAGAGGGGGAGGGATAGAGAGACACCAGGAGACAGAGAGAGAGGGGGGAGGGGGGAGGGATAGAGAGATACCAGGAGACAGAGAGAGAGGGGGGAGGGATAGAGAGACACAGGAGACAGAGAGAGAGGGGGGAGGGGGGAGGGATAGAGAGACACCAGGAGACAGAGAGAGAGGGGGAGGGATAGAGAGACACCAGGAGACAGAGAGAGAGGGGGGAGGGGGGAGGGATAGAGAGATACCAGGAGACAGAGAGAGAGGGGGGAGGGGGGAGGGATAGAGAGACACCAGGAGACAGAGAGAGAGGGGGGAGGGGGGAGGGATAGAGAGACACCAGGAGACAGAGAGAGAGGGGGAGGGATAGAGAGACACCAGGAGACAGAGAGAGAGGGGGAGGGGGGAGGGATAGAGAGATACCAGGAGACAGAGAGAGAGGGGGGAGGGGGGAGGGATAGAGAGACACCAGGAGACAGAGAGAGAGGGGGGAGGGGGGAGGGATAGAGAGACACCAGGAGACAGAGAGAGAGGAGGGAGGGATAGAGAGACACCAGGAGACAGAGAGAGAGGGGGGGAGGGGGGAGGGATAGTGAGACACCAGGAGACAGAGAGAGAGGGGGGAGGGATAGAGAGACACCAGGAGACAGAGAGAGAGGGGGGAGGGATAGAGAGACACCAGGAGACAGAGAGAGAGGGGGGAGGGGGGAGGGATAGAGAGACACCAGGAGACAGAGAGAGAGGGGGGAGGGATAGAGAGACACCAGGAGACAGAGAGAGAGGGGGGAGGGATAGAGAGACACCAGGAGACAGAGAGAGAGGGGGGGAGGGATAGAGAGACACCAGGAGACAGAGAGAGAGGGGGGAGGGATAGAGAGACACCAGGAGACAGAGAGAGAGGGGGGAGGGATAGAGAGACACCAGGAGACAGAGAGAGAGGGGGGAGGGATAGAGAGACACCAGGAGACAGAGAGAGAGGCTTCACTCTCTTTATATTGCGAGCAGTCACAAAGGTTTCACAGTAGGTTTCAAGTAAAACAGTAAAAGTCCTGCAAGTACACAAGTAACAGCATCAGAAGATACTTCGAGTAGAAGCACCTGTTCTGTCCAGAATGGATCACTGATCAGTAATGTGTGTTCTATAGTGCTGCAGCTGCTGAAGGTGGCGCTCATTTCATTTCTTCACACAGTGTTGGGAATTTCATCCCAGGGATCCCTCATCACCACTTTTTCATACGTTATATACAGGTCCATAAACTGTTTTAAAAGAAGGGGCGTGGCCACCGTGATGTCACCCGTTGGTTTATGGAACGCCATTCTGACGCCTTGAATTCTGTATTTTGGCCGTCGCCATTTTGGTTTTTTGGAACCAGAAGTGAGCAAAAATGGACGAGAGGGTGGCACCGGGGGGGAGTGAGGCGTGACGTAGCCATGAATTTGATCTCTTTGTCCAACCGAACGCTGAACGGACGTTTGATGAAGTGAAAACAGACGAGGGTCGAAGCTTGAGTGGAAACACGAGGTCATGGCGCTGGTTAAATGTACATGGTCGAGGTCTGTCAATCAGCTTGTAGCCCCGCCCTAAAGCCTCCCCTGCTTCCTGGTCTCTGTTCCTCTAAATGGGACCATAATTTACTAAATGAACATCATGCTGTGTTGAAGAAGACTTAAAACTAGCGACTGAGACTCTTCAGGAAGTTTAATGTTTCATTCATTTTAAATTAAAGTGGATCTTAATTTTTCCAGACAGAAATTAGAAATGATTCCTGCTGACTCACCTGGATGAGCTCTGTGTTTCTGTGAATTTAAAAACAAGACAGAATCTTCCTACAGAAAGACTGTTGGACAAAATGTGGTCAGTGTTTCCCTCGGTCATGTGGTCCTGTCTGATGCTCTCCTCAGGTCTTTGGGGAGTCATGACGTCTCAGGAGGAGACGTCTTCCTTCAGGAGGTTTTTTCAGTACGTGGAGGACAGCGGCCTTCGAACATACGACGGTCTGGTGATCCAAAATGCCTCCGACATCGCCAGAGAGAGCGACCGCATTCGTAACCAGACCAACTGGACCTACCTGCAGGAGAAACACCAGAAGAAGAGACGACAGGACGAAGCCATCAAGAGGTAAAAACACAGAAAACCTTAAAAATGCAGAAAGAAATGTTGCATAAGTATATGCAGTTGTAGCTGGGTAGAGCGTTTCTGTTGGGTCAGTCTGTTTTTTCATATGCGCTGGTTATTAAATGAGGCCCCTGAACCTGAACATAATCCCAGTCAGATTGACATTAAGAGAAGCTGCAGTTTGTCTTGCTTTACTGCTGAACAAAAAGGGAGTCACAATGTCACTACCACGATTTAAATAAATGTAAAGATGGAGGAAAAAGCTCAACAACATACGTACTCAAGATGGTGGTACGAGTGCATCACGAGGCTCGGCGTCTTACCAGATTTTAAAAATAGTGGTAGTTTTTCAGGTTACTTCCTGCGTGTTTCCCCAATTTAGTTGTGCGAGCTTCACTTACAGCGAACAGTCACTTCGGACCTCAACCATCGGTTCTCCAACAGAGTTTGGACTATCTTTTCAACTTCCACTCCAAAGCTACAGAGAACACAGTGTTGGCGACCGTGAACAAAGATGGGTGCTAAGCTAGAGATAAACCCACACAGGAAAGCTCCAGCCGGCAACTTCCTCACCAACCCACGGTCTCTGGTGAACAAGCTGAAGATCTGGTCCCTCACACAGAGAAGGCTTCATGTTCTTCACGGAGACCTGTAAAATGGTGAATCTGGAACTATCTTCAGGGCCGACAGAGTAGCAGCAGCAGCGTATTTACGTAAATGAAACATGGTGCATGCACTCTATGATGGTTGGTGCCCACTGCTCTGCCAGTCTGGAGTACCTCATCATTAAAAGCAGGCCTACTGCGCAAGTTTACTTTCATTGTTGCTGTTGCAGCTTATGTACCTCCAGATGCTACTGCTGAAGTAGCTATGAAAGAACTTCGTTGTCAGAGGTAACTTTAATCAGGTTAACAGAGAAAGTAAGAAGGCTTCAGTCCAGTGGAACAGTGTCGTTAGTATCAACTGTTTAGGTTTGTCACATCAACACAAGGCTTGTGTGTAGTTTATAAAATGTTGTGTGATTGGTTGATGATTGTACAACACTGACGTGTCTTTCTATTGGTCCATCCAGGATTGGTGAAGATGTTGCCATGGCAACAGACGGGGCATATTCTGGGAAACATTTCAGGATGGGTTTCATGACAATGCCGGCACCACAGGACCGCCTGCCTCCCCCCGAGTCAGGGCTTTACTGTCCGATCCCAGTCCCTCCACTCCGTGGGCGGAGGAGACGACGACTCCAACCACAACCGAAAACAACCACCGCCCAAACCCAAGAGAGACCCCAACACCAAACTGAGCAGCAGCTCTGAAACGGTGAACGGAGGGCCCGGGGTCACCAAGAGGGACACCCAAGACACCAAAGAGACGCCAGAGCAGGCTGAAGGTGAGAACACAAAACCTGCTGGTTAAACCCGATACCTGCTGGTTAAACCTGACACCTGCTGGTTAAACCAGACACCTGCTGGTTAAACCAGACACCTGCTAGTTAAACCGGTTAAACCTGCCACCTGCCGGTTACACCTGACACCTGCTGGTTAAACCTGACACCTGCTGGTTAAACCTGACACCTGCTGGTTAAACCGATACCTGCTGGTTAAACCTGACACCTGCCAGTTAAACCTGACACCTGCTGGTTAAACCCGATACCTGCTGGTTACACCTGACACCTGCCAGTTAAACCTGACACCTGCTGGTTAAACCTGACACTGTTGGTTAAACGGTTAAACCTGACACCTGCTGGTTAAACCAGATACCTGCCAGTTAAACTAGTTAAACCTGACACCTGCTGGTTAAACCTGCCACCTACCAGTTAAACCCGACACCTGCCGGTTAAACCTGACACCTGCCGGTTAAACCAGACACCTGCCAGTTAAACCAGACACCTGCTGGTTAAACAGACACCTGCTGGTTAAACCAGACACCTGCCGGTTAAACCAGACACCTGCCAGTTAAACCAGACACCTGCTGGTTAAACCAGACACTGCTGGTTAAACCTGACACCTGCTGGTTAAACCGGTTAAACCAGACACCTGTTGGTTAAACAGGTTAAACTTGACACCTGCTGGTTATACCGATTAAATCTGACACCTGTTGGTTAAACCTGACACCTGCCGGTTAAACTTGACACCTGCTGGTTAAGCCTGGCACCTGCCAGTTAAACCTGACACCTGTTGGTTAAACGATTAAACCTGACACCTGCTGGTTAAACCTGACACCTGCCAGTTAAAC